TTACTTTATTTTTGTTGAAAAATTACATCAACAGTATAATAATATTTTTAGTAAGTATATAGATATATATTTTATATATGAGTGCAGTATATATGTAATATTATATATATATTATATATATGAATGTATAATGGACCGATAGAGAAAGAGGGATTGAAGTAATGAAATTGTGATGAATTTGTCTTAATTCAATTGATGATGTACAATAGCCTATTTATAGGCAAAATTCTATGTAGGCGGTAATGATGGGGAGGTTGTAAAACATCCACGTAGATCCCATGTGTAGTATACATTTTTTTTACACTCCCCCTTGGATGTTATGTACAAAGAATGTGCCTTGTTAAAACTTTACTATGAAAAAACCTTGTGGGAAAAAAATTATAGTGAAGGAAAAAGAGTACATCATTCTTGTATTAATTCGCTCCCCCTGTTCTGGACTTTATTTGATGTCTTTCGTCCGACGCATTTCAATTCCTTGCACTAGTTTGTTGAATGTTGCAGTCGGTAGCGCCTTCATAAACAAATCTGCAAAATTTTCAGACGATCGAATTTGTTGCACATTAATTTCACCACTTTTTTGAAGATCGTGAGTGAAAAAGAACTTTGGAGATATGTGCTTTGTCCAATCGCCTTTTATATACTCTCCTTTTAATTTAGCTATACAAGCTGCATTATTTTCAAATAATATTGTAGGAGGTAATACATCATCAGAAATCAAGCCACAATTTTTCTGAATATGGTACGTCATAGACCTCAACCAAACACATTCACGACTGGCTTCGTGAATTGCTAAAACCTCAGCATGGTTTGAAGAGGTAGATGTTATTGTCTGTTTAGCAGTTCTCCAAGAGATTGCGGTTCCACCACAAGTAAATAAATAACCAGTTTGAGATTTTGCTTTGTGTGGATCAGACAAATAACCAGCATTAGCATAACCAATTAATTCATTTCGAGATTCACTCGAATAAAATAAACCGAGGTCATGAGTAGGGGTGGAAATAGGCCAGGCCAGGCCAGACTTTGGTTAAATAGGCTTGGCCTGTCTTAAAAAGATATGGCCTGAGCCTGGCCTACCAGCCTGAAAAAAAATATTTTTAAAGCCTGAGCCTGCCTTTTTAAAAGCCTGACCTGGCCTACGAGCCTGTTTAAAAGGCTACATAATAATTTATTATTATTATTATTATTATTTTTTTTTGTAAATTTCGTACTATAAATAAAAAAAAATATATATCTTATATTTTTCTACAAAAATATAAAATTTTCATTTTAATCTAAATAATATAAAACACAAAAATAAAAATAACAAAACTATTTTAAAAAAATGACGTTATAAAAAAACAAAAAAAATGTCATAAAAAAATATATAAGATAAATAAAATATAACAAAAAAACAAAAAATATATATATTGAAATTCATATCTAAATAAAAATAACGAAAAAAAACATATAAAAACGATATTTACCTTATTTTTCCAAATTCCACCGGTAGCAATAAAAAAGAAGAGGCGATGAAGACAGAAGAAGGAAAAAGAAAAGTAGTGGGTCTCTGACTCTCTGTGAAGAAGATTGCAAAACCCTGGACGGCGTGGAGGTCTGGCAGCAGTTGCAGGCTTGCAGCGGTGGAAAAGGAATATGGACAGTTGTTGTTCAGTTTACAGCGGGATAATATTTGAATTATGATAAAAGAAACAAAAAAAGGAACATGTGTGCAGTAGTTGTTCATATTTGAAATTTTTTATTGGGATAAAAATTATTTTTATTTTTGTTTTTTTTTAATAAATTTATAATTAAATTTTTTTTTTATATATCATTATTATATATAAAACTATTCTTATTTTATAATAATAAAAAATAATTTTATATAATAATAATATTATTACTAAACAGGCCGACCTGTTTAGTAAATAGGCTTTTTCATAAGCTTAAGCCTATTCTGTATATATAAACAGGCTTTAACAAAAATATGAACCTGGCCTTTCTAATAAATAGAACAGGCCAGGCCAGGATTGATGTAGGCCAGGTCATAGGCCCCTGACAGGCCGCCTGGCCTATTTCCACCCCTAGTCATGAGTCCCCTGAAGATAACGAAAAATGTGCTTGATACCATTCCAATGGCGTTTTGTGGGGGATGCGCTAAACCTGGCCAGTAGATTTACTGAAAAAGATATATCTGGCCTGGTACAATTTGCGAGGTACATTAATGCGCCAATAGCGCTGAGATATGGTACCTCGGGCCAAGTATTTCTTTATTTTCTTCTCTTGGCCTAAATGGATCTTTACTGGAATCAAGGGATCTGACCACCATTAGTGTACTCAGAGAGTGAGATTTATCCATGTAAAATTGCTTTAATACCTTTTGGGTATATGTGGATTGATGGATAAATATTCCATTGTTTACATGATCCACCTGTAATCCCAGACAATATTTTGTCTTTCCAAAATCTTTGATCTCAAATTCTTTATTTAGATATTCAACTGCAATTTGAATCTCTTCTGGAGTTCCAATTAAATTGAGATCATCAACATATATCGCAATAATGACAAAATTTGATCCATTTTTCTTTATAAAGACGCATAGGCATATTGGATCATTAGTATAACATTATTTTATTAAACATTCGCTCAGACGGTTATACCACATTCGCCCTGATTGTTTAAGTCCATACAGTGACTTTTTCAATTTGATGGAATATGATTCCCTTGGATTTAATTTGTATGCTTCATGCATATTGAATCCCTTAGGAACTTTCATATAAATATCAGTATCTAAGGAGCCATAAAGATATGCAGTAAGTACGTCTAGAAGACGCATGTCGAGCTTTTCTCGCACTGCTAGGCTCATAAGGTATCTAAATGTTATTCCATCAACAACCGGAGAGTATGTTTCATCAAAATCTACTCTGGGTCTTTGTGAGAATCCCTGAGCTACAAGACGGACTTTATATCTCACAATTTCATTATGCTCGTTTCTTTTTCGTACAAACACCCATTTGTATCCAACTGGTTTTATACAATCTGGTGTTTGAAGAATTGGTCCGAAGACCTCTCTTTTGTTTAATGAGTCAAGCTCTGATTGAATCGCATTTTTTCATTTTGGCCAGTCATTTCTTTGCCGACATTCATGAACCGATTTTGGCTCTGGATCCTCATTTTCTTCCATTATATCAAGTGCTAAACTGTATGCGAATGCATTATCAATAATTACCTCTTTGCGGTTCCAACATTTTCTTGAAGTAACATAGTTAATTGAGTTTTCAATAGTCTCATCATGTTCTTCAAGTTCGTGCTCTTCTAGAGCAATTATTTCAGGGTTGACTTACTCGTTAGATTGAGGTTTATCAATGTCATTCCTGATATTTTCATGATTATTATCATTAATTCCTCTTTTCTTTCGAGGATGTTTGTCTTTGGAACCAAGTGGTCTACCACGCTTTAAGCGTGTCGCTGATTCATTAGCACTTCCAATTTGTCCATCAGGGACAATTAATTTAGCCGGAGCATTAGCAGCTTGGATATATGATCGAGTGACTTTGCTCGAGTCATTGAATGCATCTGGCAATATTTTGCAAATGTACAATACGTTGAACTTCTAGTTCACACTGCTTTGTACGAGGATCAAAAAAATTCAATGGGATTTTCCTATTAATATCCCTTTCTGGTTCATTTTTGTCTCCCCTTAATGTCGGAAAGTATGATTCATCAAAATGACAGTATGCAAATCTTGCAGTGAATAAATCACCCGTCATAGGCTCAAGATATTTTATAATTGACGGCGATTCATATCCGACATAAATGTCCAATCTACGTTGAGAACCCATTTTTGTACGTTTGGGGGTGGAATAGGAACATAAACAGTACATCCAAAAGTACGTAGATGAGATATATTTGGTTCGTGACCAAATACTAACTGCATTGGGGAATAGCTATGATAGCTTGTCGGCCTCATTCTTATAAGTGTTCCTGCGTGTAAGATTGCATGCCCCCAAGCTGAAACGGGCAAAATAGACCTCATAATGGTCTAAAAATCAATTGCAATATTTTAATAAGTGATTTTGCCAGGCCATTTTGTGTATGAACATGAGCAACTGGGTGCTCTACATTAATTCCAATCGACATGCAATAATCATCAAATGCATTCGATGTATATTCACCAGCATTATCCAGACGTATAGTCTTAATTGAATTATCGGGGAATTGTGCCTGTAATTTAATAATTTGGGTAAGCAATCTCGCAAATGCCATAGTGCGAGTAGATAATAAATAGACATGTGACCATCTGGTAGATGCATCAATAAGCACCATAAAATATTTAAATGGCCCACACGGTGGGTCTATTGGTCCACATATATTCCTGTGTATTCTTTCAAAAAATGTAGGTGATTCAATACCTACTTTAGCTAATGATGGTCTGGTTATCAATTTTTCCTGAGTGCAGGCAACACAGGTCTACTCATTTGAGTTTAACACTTTTTGATCTTTTAATGAATGGTCATGCGAATTCTCAATTATTCGCCTTATCATTATACTGCCAGGATGCCCAAAACGATCATGCCATATTTGAAAATCGGTAGTCTTTTGATCTACCGTGAGGTGTATTTCAACAACACCTAATCTGGTATAATATAAACCAGTAGAGAGTGAGGGTAATCTTTCAATGATGCATTTCCTTTTATCAATGATATTAGTGATCAATAAAAATTCACCATCGGTATCACTCATAGTTTCAATGTGATACCCATTTTTCCGAATGTCATGAAAGCTCAGTAAATTTCTTCGAGCTTTAGTGGCCAACAGTGCATACTGTATCACAATTTTCGTCCCCGCAGGAAGAAATATAATGGCTTCTCCAGAGCCTTCAATTAATTTTGCACTGCCACTTATTGTATTGACATTCATTCTTTTCCTTTTTAAATGGGAGAAATATTTTTCATATTTCAATATAGTATGTGTCGTTGCACTGTCAATGAAACACATATTTGCATCATTTTGTTTGACATTCATTTAACCTTCAAATATAAATAACGTAGTATTAATAAAGGCAAATATAAATATTACAAAATGCATTACATAAAGGTGGTATGCGATAATTTAAATATTACAAAATATAAAATGACATAATATGTCTATCACTGGGGGTTTCTTGGATCTACGACGAAATCCGCTATGTCAAGATGCGTTGTGTCATAATCCAAAAGATCATCATCGGGGTCGTCATCATTATCAACATGATTAGTCTTGACCTCCTTCCCATTTTTCTGCAGTGAAGCTTGATAAAGATCGGCTAGGTGTTTGACTGTTCTGCAGGTATTGGCCCAATGGCCTTCAATGTCACACCAATTACAAACGCCGATTTGTCTCTTTCCCTGTTTAGCCTTTTCAGCTATATCCCTATATTGGGGTTTACTCTGCATCTTGTTAACATCAAAACTGCGGCGATTGTAAGGGGTATATCGACCGCGTTGACTCTCACGACCGCGACCACGTCCACGGCCTCGACCACGTCCTCGGCCTCGTTCATAAAATGTCACATTCGCTTCAGGGAACGGACTGGAACCAGTGGGCCGGGACTGATGACTTTTCATCAATAACTCATTATTTTGCTCAGCTAATAAAAGACATGCAATGAGCTGTGAGTACTTTTGAAAATTTTTCTCACGATACTGCTATTGCAGCACAACATTAGAAGCATGAAAGGTAGAAAGAGTCTTTTCCAATTTATCATTCTCAGTAGCATTTTCTCCGTAGAGTTTCAACTGAGATGTAATCTGATGGATAGCAGAGTTGTACTCTGTAACAGTTTTAAAATCCTGCAACCGCAGGTTAAGCCAATCATGTCGGGCTTTGGGGAGAGTGATATATTTTAAGTGCCCAAATCTCTCCCTCAATTCATTCCACAAATCCAGTGGCTCTTTCACCGTCAAATATTCAGACTGTAGAGGAATGTCCAAATGATGGCGGATGAAAATAATAGCCTTAGCCCGATCTTGGCTTGTAGTCGTATTTTCACTGGCAATTGTATGAACGAAGCCCATAGAAACCAGATACATTTTTACATCCATGGACTAAGTCAGAAAATTATTGCCGGTGAGAGACAGAGGTTTAAAAGAAAATTTTGCAAGGTTTTCCATAGTTTAGAAAATAAATAATATAAATAGTATAAAAATAAAACTTACCAAAAATAAGATAAGCAAGAGCCTTCGTGCTGATAACGTATTATATAATAAATAGTATAATAATATTTAGTAAGTATATAAATATATATTTATATATATGAGTGTAGTATATATGTAATATTATATATATTATATATGAATGTATAATGGACCGATAGAGAGAGAGGGATTGAAGTAATAAAATTGTGATGAATTTGTCTTAATTCAATTGATGATGTACAATGGCCTATTTATAGGCAAAATTCTATGTAGGCGGTGATGGTGGAGAGGTTGTAAAACATCCACGTAGACCCCGTGTGTAAAGTATAAGTTTTTTTTACAATTATCAATTTTTGAAATTTTTTTGTTCTATTTATAAAATAAATAATCTAAATATTATTTAAAATTGTAAATAAATTCTATTTACCTTTAAAAATAAATTAGAAAAATTAGATCGAAATCGTACTGCCGAATTTTTCTTAATTTTTCTTTCAGTTTTTTTTTTCCACTCTCCTTTTCTCCTTCGCGTTCTGCTCTTTTCTCCCTTTGGTAAAGGTTTGCTTGATTTCGTTTCATTATATATATATATATGATTACTATATTATACTCCCTCTTTTTTCTTTTTATTTTCGTCCTTCCACTTATTCTTTTATTTTTATTTTTTAAAAATAATTATACACTTCAATCTCATTTAAATTTTTTAATTATAATTCTTTTAAATTTAATTAAATTAATTAATTATTTTAATTTAAAATTATTTTTATTATTCAATAATTATTTTTACTAATATATTTTTAATTATTTATTAATTATACTCTTCCTAACTTATCGAGTTTACAAGAAATATAACGTTATATTATTATAATATTATCATTATTATCATTATCCTATCCTATTATATTATATTATATTAATAGTGTATCATATAGTAATAATTTATACTTATCTAAATTTATATTATAATAATATTATTACTAAGAATAGTAATCTTAATAAAATATCTAAATACTTATTCTTATCGGTATTTTATTTATTCAGAATTTTTTTAATTTGATATTTTTATAGGAATTTTTTTTAAAAATATTAATTATAAAATGTTGTGTTCTTTTTAATTGAAGAGATTAAATTAAATAATATTGTTCACAACAAACCCTAAGAAAAAAAATTTATCTTCAGAATATCTTTGTTGAGCATAAAAAAATGGTAGGTAGAGTTTTTCGAGAATGGACCTACCAAATTAAGTTAAGATTTATATAAAATTAATGGGCTTTCAAAAGTCCGAATATAGATGTTTTTAAGGAAGAAATTGCCTCGGAAAAAAGCAGATTAGGTGAAGTGTCCGACCTTATTACGCCCAACCTTTAAGCTTGGCCCCACCAGGTCCGACCTTATCGTACCCGACCTTTAGTCCCGACCTCATACCGTCTTACCTCCGTGTCCGACCTTATACCGTCTCACTCCTACACTCGAACTTCGTGCCCGACCTGATCGTACTCGATTTTGTATCAGACCTTGTTACTCCTGAGCTCCGTACCCGACCTGCTTAAAGGTCGGGCGTAATAAGGATGGACAACGAGGTCGGGCGCAATTAGGCCGAGTTCGAGAGTCGGGTATGATAAGGTCTGGTATGGAGACGAGGCAGGATAAGGTCGGGGGTAATAAGGCCGGGCAGTGAGGTCGGACATGAATAAGTCGGGTAAAGAAGTAGTCAATGTGCAGGTCGGGTGAGATAGTAGTTTATGATAGTGGAGGGAAGTTTCAATTGGTGAGCGGTTTTTGAAGGTTTGACTTGGTGGATCGGTTGACACACGTGTCAATAGAATAAGACTTTTGGGGCGGTTGACAGCGGTTATTGTAACCGACCAGATAGCGGTTCGAACCGTTTCTTTAAAGGGTTTTAAATAGGTCTGTTTTTGACCTAAGAAACCATCTTCAATCAACATCAAATTTAAGAGAATTGTTTTTGGGGATCACCACTTTATTTTCCAGTCTTTATTTTATATTTTCCTATTTTATTTATATATTCTACAGTGTTTAGAGATCCCTAATCTCAGGCACTAATTATATCAAATTCGAAGATATTTCCTTATTTTCAAATTTTACCTTTTTATTGTTGAAAAAATACATCAACAATATTCATCCAATACACTTTATAAATATGACAAATAAGTACACATTTATATTAAAATAGTTCTACGTTAATCAACCATGTGCTAATATTTCATGTATTGATCGGTACAAATCACTATCATATCGATTTGTCTGGAGACCAAAATTGGGTACATTTTTTTTTATGAGTTTGAAAAAAAAATTTATTTGAATTTGATATTAAAATAATATATGATGAGATATTTTAGTGAGAATTTTAATTTTTTAAAAATATACAAAGTTCAAATAGTAAAATATGAGATTTTAAGTCAAAAGAAATAAAATTTTTGTTTTTATGTACCGATTTGTGCAAATCGCTATCATATTGATTTCACTCGACTAACATACTCTAATCGTATTTTTGTTTGGACAAAAACTTTTGAAGAGTTTTGGAATTTTGAATTTTGAAAATAATAAAAACTAACTAATTGATTTAATATTTTGTAAAAAGAAAATATATTTAAAGTGATGTTTCTAAAGATTTGAATAGTTCCAAAGTTCAAAATGTTGTGCTTATTTTTTATTTTATGCACATTAAAAATTATGTTTACGTTCAAAATATCAAATTAAATAATTATTTCAATTCAAAATTTTATCATTCAAATTTCAAATTCAAAATCCAAAAATAAACACAACCATAAAAATAATGGCATGAGTTCTTATTTATTTAATTAGCATACAAATCCAATCAAATTGAGAAATGATAAATATTTGCCTATACAAAATCAATATAGCTCTGTTTACAAAATATATTTGGGATTTTGGTATTATTTAATTTTCAAAAAAATATAAATATATATTTATTTATAAAATATAACATCAAATACTAATTTTTTACTATTTATAAAATTTTAAAATTTCAAAAGTCTCCGTATAAACAAAGTTTATAGTTTTCGATATCTAATATTATAGTTTCTTTCATTTGTAACATATGGCGACATATGAAAATAAATTAAAATATGCATTTATCACCTCACAGATTTAAGATTTGTTTGGTTATGATTGAAATTCTTTTAAGATAATATTAATTTAAATTTTTATTTAAATAATATTTTATATGTATAAAATATTTATATCGTAAAATACGAAAAGTAGTTTGAAATCACAAATAGTTTAGTGTAACAGGAGTCCAACAAATATTTAGAATTAGTAATGTTAAATTGAAATTATATAAAGTTATTATTATTATTATTCGTTTATGCGAGAATTAACGAATATGCGGAAGTGGTCCTATGCCTATTTGCTTCCCTATTTTATTTGTCCTGTGTTCCTTCTTTCTTCTTTTTTTTTTTTTTTTTTTTTTTTTTTTTTTTTTTATAAATTGGGTTTATTTTCTTTAGTGGTTTAAAATTTATATTGTTGGATTTTTTGATCCAATTAGATCCACCCCATGCAAGGCACACTCACACCTATTATGCAACCCAATTTGATCATGATCCTGACCCGCGATCCACACTCGCACCACCCGAACCGCCTCCTTGTCTTTGCTGTGACCCGAGCCCTGTGTGCTTAGTTGACCCTGTGCTCTCATACCTTATTCTTACCCGGTCGCTTGACCCGATCTGTCGCTGGATCCGTGTCTTTCTATGAGGCGCATTCCTAACCATCCGATCTACGTCTTTAATCCTGGCCGTTGGCTTCCATTGACCCTGAGTATATATATATATCGAGAGAGAGAGAGAGAGAGGGCACAGCTCATACTTTCTCACACACACTCTCTCTCTCTAACCTCTCGCTCTCTCCGGCCTCACCCAATATACTCTGTCTCACCTTTCGACAGCGTTTCATAGCGGTTTGCAACGGTTCTCAGCGGTGTTTTACTTCCTGTATATTTTTTAAGGCCATTAGGCACATAAACACTCCAGTTTGTTGTTGTTCATAGCCGAAAGGGGCTTGTTCAACGGTGTAGGCTTTTTTAAGCCTCGTTTGTTGTATGTGGGGTTATTTTTGTGTGTTTCGCTAGTTTTGGGCCGGTTGTTTTGTGTTAGTCACTAATAGGTGTGTTTTTTTGTGTGTCGATCTTTGTTTCGAGTTGGTTAGGGGCTGAGCCTAACCAAAAATAGTTCAATACTTTTTTTTTTACTCGATTTCGTTAATAAATCTTTAGATCCTTTCATATTTTTATAATAACAAGTGGTATCAGAGCGTTTTTGGTGTATTTTCGTTTTCGAAATCGAATATTCTTTTATGTTTTGAGGTTTTTCGGTTGTAAATCGTTAGATCTATCAAGGATCTGGTTGAATCGAACTGTTTTAAAGTGTTTTGATTCTTTTCCTTGTAGATCTGCTTGAGACCTGCCGAAATTTCACTCGATCTGTGCTTTCTAGCCTCGGTCGTGTGCGATTTGTGTTGAACGTGACTTAATCGCTACAAATCTGTGTAGTTTGGTTAAGTTTGAGTCAAGATTTGATTAGTTTGTTACAAAACCATTTTATTTTTTATAATCGAGTTTTGTTTTTCAAACTTTCTTTAAATATAAAGTGTAAATCAGGTTAGTTGCCTTTGTTTTGTAAAGTTTTGTTAAAGGTCCTTGAGGATCTATTCTTAGGGAGTCAAAATCTAAAAGATTTTTCAAATCTTAAAAGTCTGGTAAATATTTTTTAAAAGATCTTTTTATTTTTCAAACTAAATCTCGTTTGAAATCTTCAAATCTTTAAGCTTTGCTTTATTTGTGTTTGTTTGAGTCGGCATGGTGTAATATTTCATTTGTTTCGGGGATTCTAACAATATGTTAAAAGAGAAACATATTTGTTGTTTCTGTTTTTGGTGATATCATTGGCTAACCCCTATTTTCGATAAGAGAATAGGTTTTGTTTTGTGTTTTTTTCTTTTCCTATTTTTTTGTAGGAATATAATTTTTTTTTTGCTGTGCTACAAGGTAACCCCTTTAACTCACATTATTTATTGTTTTTGTGTTTGTTTTAATTTCTACATTTAATTTTTGCACCCAAAAATAAATTGTAAAGGCTATTGTTAAACCAAGATTACTGAACTCAGATCCTCACTTTGTGAGTGATTCTCGAGTACCTCGGTTGAATAGTCAATAATGTATGTTGTAATAGTTAGGT